AAAGTCAGAATCTTCAATACAAACTTGAAGACCATCACCGAAAATGTACAAGTATTTATCAACAATTATCTACACAAGATATTGAGTATCTGTTGACCGGAAAGTATCAGCAACAGCCTACTGTATGAGAGAATAAACTAACTCCCGTCTGAGTAGGAATTTAAAAAAAACTTTTGAAGTGAATAGGATATACTGCATCACGAACAAAGCGCTTACTTGGAGTCTTGAAGTGTAATGGAAAAGAGGGAAGCCAAAGACGGCACCGCGTTGGGAATTGGAAGGAGACATGAAAAGAATGAATACCAACTGGAAACAACTTGAAAGGATGGTCATGGCAGAGTTGGATGAAGAATACTGGTGAGTGGCCTATGTTCCTCGACGAGAGGTAACAGATGAAAATAAGTATAAATGGCCGTATGTTGAGTACATAGGTGTTTCTGACAGTATTCCAAAAAAATAATTTTAATTTCAATTATTCTCAAACCATACTCTTGAAAAAAATTTACGAGCTATTCAAATTCGACCACAATAATGTCTACAAATATTTCTTTTAATATAATTAGTGTTTAGAATGAAAAGTAAAAGTTTTCCAATAACTAACTGGGTTTCTATCTCTTGAGGCACTGATTACTTATACCAAGATGAGTAATCATGGTGTTTCACCATTTGGATAAGTAAAATGATTGAATGTTCATACATTAGCGTTCACATATTAATAGCAGTAGGACGAACTTGGATGACGTCATCCATAGTGTTGAAATGGTAATCACTATATTGAGTTCCATTTATCCATTTATGGACAGTTAAACTTTGTCATGAATTACAAGCCCATCCAAGATAATAAATTAAGAGTAATTTTCTAAATATATCTTATATCAGACTTCATTTACCATCACTCTAATACAATGATGTTTGTTCACTGTAGTGTTTCTACTAGCCTATCATGAAATAGAACACTGTGTGTACAACTGTCCATTGTCAAGAATTGAACGGTTTTTCGTTATAGTAAGTAAACTATACCACAAACCATCATCAATAACTGCATTCTGGTTTACAGACTAGAAAACAAACTATAATATACACCCGTTTTTCATGATCACTTGTATCATGATGGATGATGATTTCTAGAATAAACGGGAAATTCGGAATTAAAACACAAAGCCGACTGTAACAATGGGTTAAATGCTATGATTTTATAAAATTGTCAGTTAGATGCGCATTACAAACATACAATCTATAATGATCTAACGAGAATTGAGCAACAAATTGTCTATCACTCAGGTTAAATTACTCTGAAATAGAATGCTGTTCAATATAACTCGTCTATACTTAATTGGAATAAAGTGTTTTGATTTGTATTGTCAGCCGTTCAATAAAAGCTGATAGAATTGATGGTTGGACTGAGTTTACCAGAATTGCTTCAATGGGATCTATGAAGTTCACAGACTGTATCCAGAAAGATGATATAAAGATCAATTGAAATCATCTTCCATGTACGTTACTCGAATTTCACAACAGAGTAATGTATGATATTTCCATTTTACTCAGGTGTGTAATCCACTTAAAATGGATAGGTTTCATTTGAATGTGATAATTATACTGTAGCCCTTTGACTATATGAGGAATTCTTCAATCAATGAATTAGTTGTTAGTAGAAACCTATTTACATTGTCTCATTTCATCATGTAACGATTTCATATATATTGCTAGGCGTGTCTACCGTTCAAACATTGTAGATAAGTGAAATATGACATGAACCAACCTCTGTTTTGTGTGTTTCGTTTACATGCGAACGGATATAATGTCTTTCAAGAGTCCATGGAAATGCATCCTTCAACCGATTTATACATTGCTCATCAAAATGTGGCTGTGAAGCTATTTTAAGTAAAGTGAAATAATGTTTTGTTATGAGAGGATCAAATGAATTTATAAAAGGAGGGGACGGAATCTGTGAGTGTGTCAACAAATATAAAGCTCATCCTCATGAAACAAATGACACTATCGTTCAAATCAGTGTTTACAGATCTAGTGTTCATGAATACTTGTATACTCAATCATCGTAAACTTGCTTCAATACTAATTGCAGAAAGAATATATTCAAAATAATGTTTAATCAATAATCTGTTTACGTCCACTACATTGCTTTGAATATCAGGAAGAGCTTCAAAGTATACTTTAGATAATTACTATTTTAAGTCATTCCACTTCTATCAATATGACTGAAAATGGCAATGATTGATAAATCTGCATTGGTTCAGGGATAATGGATTACGTTGATGGGATTTTCAGAGTACACTGGATTTGTACATATATGAGTATGTCGTCTGTTAAATTATGCAGGCAGAATACAATAGGAAGTTTTGTTTCGATTAGTAACTATTTCCTTGTTTATTTATGTGGTTTCTATTGATGAATAACAATATTATACTGGTTATTAGTATATTTATTGATGTTAGTAGCCAGTGATTATCAGTTGTTTGACGTTAACTTTATTCATATGAAAAAACTATGTGTTCCAAAATAAGAATTCGACTGTCCTTTATGGCTTTCTACAAATAGAACGCATCAACACTTGGCATATTAAAACGTCATTTGAAATGATCATCGAAAATTTGTTCAGTGCTGATCTACATAAACCGCTTTTGTTATTACGGTAATACTTATGAAGTGATACGCGGTTAAAATCTGATTCAAAATCCCTATGTTAATTATTTCATTCATAATCATTAAATGTTCCGATAGTTGAAATAATGAGTCAACTGAAGCTAGGCCACCATGGAAAACCTGGAAGCACTGGACGGCCGTTTCGTCCCAGTATGGGACTCCTCAGCTGTGCGCATCCACGAGCCTGCCCCCTGAGAGATTCGAACCCAGGACCTATGAGTCTCGCGCTGGTGCACTTAATCATTAGACCACTGAACCGGCATTCATCGGTGTCAATGTCTGATGGGTCCTGTGTTCGAATCTCGCGGGTGGCGGGATCGTGGATGTGCAGTGCTGGGGAGTCCCATGTTGAGACGAACAAGCCATCCACGGCTTCCAGGTTTTGCATGGTGATCTAGCTTCAACTGACTCATGATTTCAACGATTGAAATTACCAAATTCTCCATAAAACCCCTTCTGACATTAAATATTCACCAATAATGTGGTCTTTTATCCGATCCTTATGAATTTCCGTTCAAAATATCTTTACGTGTACAAAAATATCTTTATATATTATGGTAAGTTTTAGTCAATATGTTACCATAAAATAAAATTTAGAATAACGTGTATGATAATTACTTGAAAGTTAATATTGTCTGAGAGTTGATCATTACTTAATTAATTAACTTTAATATAGAAATATATTAAATATTCGAGATGTATATCTTATTTAAAAATTATACATTAATTGTTGAGAAATAAATCTTTAACAATGGACTTATTCTCCACATGGTAATGCTACACCACTACAGTGACCATCCTAAATAGGTCTACCATTTTTACCGTCAGAAACTTCGCTTGCATCAAATCATGATTTTAAATACCGTATATGTATTCGGAAAATGTAGTCAAGCATTTGGCAGACCACTTAAAATACATTTGAATTTGTGTATATTCAGGCAACCACCGGATCACATAAATTTTAGTCGTTTAATACAAGCCGAATAGTTTGTTAATTGAATTTCAGAGCTAAGCAAGTAAATACATCAATTTTATACTAACATGAATACGAATTATTATCTGTTCCAGTGGGACTGAAGGTCATGGATTGCAACAATTGATTCATCAAAAAATCCATAATAATGATTGTACGAAATGCACTGTAAAAAAAAGACGTCACGTTAAAGAAAAGCTTTAATGTAACTAGTATTGTGAATAAATAATAAGAACCGCCCCGCCCCTGTAATTTTACACTGATCAGTATCAATAAGTCTACATTGTAGTTTTAGAGCGTGGAGCCGGTTAACTACAACATTTTTGTGCCAAACCAGCATATGAAGTGTCAACTTATAGATATACCTACTGAATTTTACCCAAATAATTTAGTAAGAGCAGCAAATAAAATACGGCTGATAATTCAGCTTTATAGATCCTTATCAATAACTAAGTACAGATGGAATAGTCAAATGACATTTGTCATGTACGATACCAATGGGAAATATAGATTAAATAATTTGAGTTTCAACATTTTTCTAAAATCCTTTTATTAGATATTGGAAACCTACCACAGAACATGTATCGAAACAGTGTTGTATTCGGTAGATGTTCGTTAGCTGAGTAAACGTGTGTTATTTTCGGGTTGTGATAAGTCCCAGAACACTGGATACGAAGTGTAACCGGATATTATCTGTTTCATAGGCTTCGTTTATATAAATCTTCGTTATCACTTACATTGTGTAATGAAGACTGAAATTATTATTCCCAGTCTCTGAAGAAGTTGTCCAACATGATATTGCTGACGTAACCAAGCTGTCAAGGTTCTCAGGATCAATTGAAAAAGCACACAAGTTGATCGTTGACATTCTTCCTAATGGTAATCTAATGTGAAATCGACAACTCTTTTTAGTAGCTGTACTCAAATAAAACAAACAGTGGCCAGTTTGTTTACTTAAATAAATTTTGGAAATTTTTGTGCTCTGCTTAGTTAAAAGATGTACATCGAAGGTATTCAGAATGACTGATAAACAGTTTTTAGTACATAATATTCACTACATGTATCATATCAACGTGTCACTTCGATGTAAACGGAAACCCGTTGATTATAATTGGCAAAAGCCTTATATAGATGTCAATGGACTTCTTCCTATGGTAAACCTAACAACATAGTATTTGATAACATAACTTCAATGCTTTTAATGCGATTAGTTTAAATATAAAAATTCAGCTTAGAATAATCAGTTTTCACATGATGATACAGACATAGTTACCCAGGATTATGCTGGTATTCCTTTTCAATATACTTAAAGTTAAACTGTTATATTTGTTGTTAGCCATAAAGAAAATGAAGTACGTTTCACCTTTTATCTTTTTCTGTTTTCATTACATCACCATATAATTCACAACGATGTTTAAGCTGATATCGTCCTTCTACAATGATTGATGGCTGCTTGGATTTTTCATATCCAGTTTGTTTCAGTAATTCTTTCAATAAATAACTCCAATTGATCTATACATGTAAATTAAAATAAAATGAAGGTGACATATATATATATTTACGAAAGGAAATGTAACAATGATTCCAAAGTGACTCGAAGTAAAAGAGTTTTGACGAATAAGTATGATGCAAGTGAATTTCTGTTTATGATCTCTACTCATTATTTGGATGTTTTGGAAATAAACAACGTTTCACCGTTGTTAGATTTCGTAGATTAAATTTCCAAATAATCTCAGTTATATAACAATCGAAAAATCATGTGGTTCTGAAAAGCTGTTTCCTTATAGTATAGGATATCTGTTCAATCCAAATTTAGTGGTTCATTAGGCTAAAGAATAAATACTTGCAGTGAGATCTGCATTTTACCGTCAAGGTGCCGTAGACGTGTATTGCTGTGGCCGATTCTCAGTTAAAAGAGCTGTTCACCATGTTAAGGATTTCTAGATATAGTCAGTTTATGACGTAGTCAATGAAAATAAGTATCTATCTCATAACACATGTGGGTAATTGTTAATCTCACTTAAACTGTATTACGATATTAATGATGTTGTTCAGGAAAGTTTTGAAATAAAATTTACCTGAGGACAAATGGATTTCAGTTCTTTCATTGAAATAATTTCATTGAATTCACTCACATGAAGTCCTTGTGTAATTGATATCTCCTGAAAATTCATCATAAAGAAATAGCAATTATCAAAGTCATGGGTAATTCCTTAATTTTAACTACATATTGGAGTAGGGAAAAGATGAGAGAAGTCATGAAAACATGCTACTTTTTCATAAAAAAGCATATGGGTTAATGTTTTTATAATGATTGCTACTTGGAATATTAAAATATTACAGAAATTCCTCATAAAACCCCTTCACACTCATCTTCTTACTTATATATATATACCTAGATTGTATGTTGAAGTAACGATAACTATTTTCGTTACTTCTTTTGATATTTAAGGAATAACAACTATTAAATCACTCTGTTATTTAGTTATGTTTCGGTAAATTTAATGAAACATTCTTCTTCGATATAAATGTAGATAATATTTCATGTGATGCAATTGCATGCTCATACTGAGTGGTTCTCTATGTGTGTTAGTTTATTTTGTATTATGAAAATGTTTCACAACAAACTCTAACTACATTTTTGTGTTTCATCTAGTTACAGCAGATCTGATTTGTGAAAATAAGTAATGAGAAATTGAAACCCGAGTAAAACCGCATGAAAACTTTGTCTTTTAAAACTTTCTCAGTGTTCATAGTAATTTCTTAGCCTCTCATCTTCACTAATTAGTAAACCAGTGAAGCATTAAAGATCAATGAACAATTTTATTATTAAATCCAAAACATTCTAGTTAACCACTTCTCAACAATCAGTAATGAAATAAATTACTTTTATTTCAATGAATCAATAATGAGTATTAACTGCGTGACATAATCTTTTACAGTGATAGAACTTTATTAATCTATTGTGATAATTAAAACCGCGAAAAGTTCAGATGTTTTATGGTGGCTGGATTATATTTGCATACACAATAGGAGAATACATTGAATTTATCTCATAGAACACACTATATATTTCAACAGTTGAAATCATGAGTAAGTTGAGGCTGGACCATCATGGAAAACCTGGAGGCACTGGACGGCCGTTTCGTCCTATTGTGGGACTCCTCTGCAGTGCGCATCCACGACCCCGCCTCGCGGGACCCGAACCCAGGACCTATCAGTTTCGGGCTTAACCAACTAGACCTTTGGATGCCGGCTCAGTGGTCCAGTTGGTTAAGCGCCTGGCGGGGTCGTGGATGAACACTGCTAAGGAGACCCACAATAGGACGAAACGGCCGTCCAGTGTTTCCAGGTTTTCAATGGTGGTTTAGCCTTAATTGACTCATGATCTCAACTGTTGAAATTACTGCAATCTCCACAAAACCCCTTCTGATACAAATTTATTTGGCATTTGAAGATTTTATGGTATTTTCACTGTTGAAGTCAAAAACTGATCTTAGTTAGACTACTATTGGAAACTTGTAAGCACTGAGCGGCCGTTTTAACACGATGTGGAACTATATGTTCACTAGTGACTAGCTTCAAGTCGTAACTCTAGGGGATCTAGTGACAAGACGTGATCAGCAGTGTTCAATATGTGCTTAATGTAAGTCAATTATCCACCTCAGCGGTGGATGAACGGTTTTCAAAGATCATGGATTTAGTAAAGTTAGACATTGACACCGTCAGATGCCGCAAGGTGTAAAGCACCCGTGCGTAAGCCCTATGGTCCTGAGTTCGATATCCGAATGGAAATTTGTGGATGTGCACTATTGAGGAGTCCCATATTAGAACGAGACGCCTATTTAGTGCTTACAGGCTTTCAATGGTTGTTTGGCTAAGGTCAGTCCATGCTTTCAATATCAACAAATTTATTTATAACAAAACTCACATTGCTCAAATCGACCAACATTTGAAAAGCAATTGTTAACTGTGATTGCTCGAAATAAGGCACTCCTATTCCAAATGCAAGCTTGTAGTAATCCTCTTCGGATTTATCCATATCAGTCTGTTAAATGAAATTTGGAATGTCTTTTACCCAAACTGAAATATACATGTAAAACTGAGTGGGTGAGACATTGAAATGCACATTGATATAAGACAGAATTTATCCGTGAAATATTTATGATCGTTATTCGAGATGTACAAATATCTCTTCTATTGTGACTTAGCAGTTGTCGATTGTTCTTGTTGAAAATGATGATTCATTAATTATTCTACCATGTGTTAGATAAGGTTATATCGTTATAAATACCGAACTTCTTAGTTGAAGACATTTAAGTTTCTACTGTGACGGTTCAAACTTAAAATTTCTTATTTTATTAGAAAATTTAGCACTAGTATAAATGGGGTTTTTATTAAGATGAAAAGGGACAAATATTTACAACAAAATGGTAGTTATTTCACATTGTAAGTGTGAACACTTATATAACTTCAGATATGATATCAATATAGTTTGAAAGTGTTTTATCATCCTGAGTTGTTTATAATGGTATTAATGTTATATTGTTTATAATGCATATTATCACATCACTTTGTATGTTGATATATTTCTGGATTATTTTCTGTTTTGTACAACAATTCGTTATCAGTATCTGTGTTAAAACTAGCATTATCTTGATCTCTTATTAGTTGACAAGTATCTCAAAATGATATAAATTAGCTTGATAGCGAAGAACAACTATCGATATCAATCATATGGATTCTATAAACCAGATGAAATGAGTATTTAATCATTCTATTAAATAGAGCAACAATGTCTTATTGGTTAATTTTAATTTGATGTTTTAACAGCATAACTATAAAAGATAGTGAATTGAAGTTATCTTTGAATTACTTAAAAACTACCAAAATTTTAAATAAATGTAAAATTTACCTGTATTGAAGCAGGATTTAATCCTATCCGACCGGGTGAAATCTGATTATTGTAGTATAATAAAATATAATTTAGTGGATTTATGAGAGAGAAATAAATTATTAATGACCAGAATAATACAAATGATAAGAAAATGAATTGTTTAATATCAGATGGGTTTTGTGGAAATTGTAGTAATTTCAATGGTTAAGGTCATAATTCAGTTGAAGCTGGTGGTCTAGCTACTACAGTTACTACAATCTCCGCAAAACCCATCTGATATTAATCAACATATGCTCACTAGTGACTGTCTTCGAGAGCTATATTCTGGAGTTCTAGTGAGAAGTAGTGACCAGTGGAGTTCAATCAGGTCCGTTGTGAGATAGTAAGTCACTGAAGACAATGGTGAATGTGTCGCTCAATTTCGTGGATTAGTTGAAGTTAAACACAAACAACCAATCATTATCATTCTCGCCCATACATCAGGAATTTCAGATGCTGTAAGACAATCGATACCCCATTCAAAACGCCATAACGACTAACACTAAATATTTTGATGCATTATTAGGGGTTTTGATACATTTCAAGCTAATGAGTTTTAACAATTTTTAAAATCAGATTTATGAAAGAAACACTTACATTTATGGCGAATATATCGTGCTTTATATTTATTGAAAATAAAAGTGAACTACCAGTTTGACTTATCATTGGTAGAAATAGATCAGTTAGACTCATTTTTTTAGTGTCTGTTGAAATTGACGGTATTAGTTCCCATCCACCAAATAGATCACGTATTAATGATTGATAAGCTAATTGAGCTGTTTTCCAGTTACGAGTGAATACGCAAGATTTGTAAAAATTTCGAGCATTCTGTAGATGTGAATCTTCTATGTCGTAGGACTCATCAGCTTCAACATACCCGTTGTTATCATAAAATAATGTAGATTGAACAAACAAATTTCATTTGATTAAACAAAGTATCTGATTGAAAAAACTATTGTCTTTTACTGCATAATCCCCTATTAACTATTTTCCTGAACTTTTCACTTTAAAATAATCTATTCGCATTGAGAATAACTTCAATCACTGATATTCTGATATAGAACATGACTAGTCATTCACAACTGATAAAGATTTATTTCATAATACTGCTTATTACATTTTTATTAAGCAAAAACTAGTATCTGCATTTAGTGTTATGAAAGTGGTAGGTGTTAAATTATTTGGATTTTATAAAATACTTCGTTATGGTGAATTGATACGAGTTAAATAACATTTTAATATAATAATACTATTACAGTATAATTTACCAATTATTTTCCAGAAGTAATGATCGATCATTATTTCCATTTTAACAAATGCATTCAAACTAGCGTCTTGACTAATCAAAGGATTTTGGTTTTCCCATTCTCCACAAGCAAACTGGTAAAAATCATGACAAGCATCTGAGATAGTTGAGTTGCTAGTGTCGTTCGGAAGATAAATTGCCAAATTCTTTGGCGCTACAAAAAATTTAACTCTAAAATGTTATTGACTGTATTGAGCAAGTAAGTGGACTTCATTATAATTTTTCTTACTATCTTGATGGTAACTAACATTAAAATAAATGTGTACTACCCATTAACAAACGAACTCTGATGGTTACTACTCATAAAGATTTTACAGCTGTTTAGGCGGTACATAACTAGGGTTTTTTTAAATCTGATTTTTCTTCTCTTATGACTAACAGATGAACAGGATTTTGCAGTGTTATAGAAATATATAAAACAACTTGCTTTGTTTACAGATCAAGCAAAATTGTTAAACAAAATGCAAGCTAATAGGAACGTCAAGCGCTCTGTTTTTCTGATATACTAAGTAATGTACACAAGTAAAAGTGATTCAAACTGGTAAATCAGATTTTACAATAACATAAGCGGTTAAATGTGTTCTTCTTTGAACCGAGTTAACTAACCGAGTTAATTATCAGAAACTCTGAACATATGTCCTACTGGAATGTGAGTACTATCATTTTCGCAGCACGTGACATTATTCTTTACAATAAGCTAAAGTGAATGTCTGAATTTCAATTTCACTCCCAAATTAGCTATATTTATAAGTTAGTTAAATTGCCAGTGTGATTTGAAAATGTTCCATATACATTTCTTATTTGACCTAGGAACGTTCATTATTTCTCTAAACAGTCAACTATGAATGTTTATATATAGCTTCATCGATATTGTCTAACATTTTAGTATGTTGTCAGGTTTTAAGTAGAGCGTTGCTATCACTGACTCTATACATAATAATCATGAATTCTTGTTCAGACCTGTCATAACAGTAAATGTATTACCTTATTTGTCTTATATAAGCACAAATAACACTAGGGTAAGTTTGTTGTGTTTGAAGAAATAGTATATAATTTGCGAAAACGACTTATAAATCTTAGTGATTAACTTCCACTGTTGACATAAATAATACGTTAGAAGTTATTATTACCACATGTGATTATATACACTAATGTTTTGAATTATGTCGTCCGAGATAATAATGAATTTGATTAGGTACAATGAAATTATCAAAATGTTTATATGGCAAAGTTGTTTAAGAAATATCTCACCTTGTTTATTAGTTAAGACAAAATAGATAAGGACTGAACCTCCAGATATTATCACCAATAAACTTATAATAAGTACTCCATATTGTATAACTCGTTTATTTAATTCCGTTAACATAACCTCTGTAAGTGATAACAATGATTTCAAAAGGTCTAACGATTTCTTTTATTATGAAAGTAAAGTACTTTTTTAACCAATTATTATAAATCTTTAAAGTGATTTGTTAATACAATAAACAAAGTTACAGTGTACGTAATCACTTAACATTTGCTTCTCAGTAAATAGTGTTTACTGAAGAAGAAGAAGAAGAAGAAGAAGAAGAAATACAAAAAAGCTCCTTCCCGAAAAATTCTTTTTCTATGAGACTGTACATTTGCGTCTATTCAATATATCAGTTTATGATAAAATAGAAAAGAGATTATAACAAACAGTATTCAGATACTTGAAGGATAACTAAAAAGTTTTACGAAAACAATTCAAGGTATGAAAATAACTTGCAGACTAGTAGTGAGATAATTATTCACTTCAAATTAGTGAAGAGAAACAGAAGGTTATGATGTTATCGAATAATAACTTAATATTTGTCCCGATAGTGTAATAAGATGACAAAGATTATCAGAACTATGTGATATATTAGCGCATTATATTACGAACAGTCTGATCACACATATACTTGTTAAGAACATTTATATATAAAAATAAAAGGTCTGGTTGAGGACCTAATCGAAAACATGTCACTTTATGAGAGGTATGTGGGCATATCTTAGTTGTCTGTGAAATAAAGGAGGATATGTACTGTTTATTGAGTAAATTTAACACTCTCCAAAAACAAAACAGTCTCTTATGTGAAGAGGAGAAGAAAGACCAGTTTTCCTCCCTAAGTATACTTCTAAGTAGACGAGAAGATGGCTTAGTCGAACGATCCATTTTTAGAAAACCAACGTGGACAGGTCAATACCTTAGTTATTATAGTTATTGCCTCGTGCAATACAAACGGGGTTTGATAAGGTGCCTATTTAATAAGTTTGATCGTATTTGTACAAACGACGCCATTGGTGATGATGTCAGGTTGTTAAATAAAACATTAATGGAAAATGACTATACCTTTAAATTCATAAATATATGGAAAGTTTATGGTACAGTGAGACGTACTATAGCTTTGGCAGAAAAAAAGCCTGTCTACATCATCTTACCATTTAGAGGTGATATAAATAGTCTTGTATTGAAACAAAGGCTTAAATCAGTCATTAACAAGACATATTGTAAAGCGACGGTCATTATCAAGGAAATAACAAATAAGAGTAGGGGATAAACATCGATCAACGTCTATTGCCAAGCACATAATTGAAACAGGTCGTAAGATTTAACTTAACTCGGCTTTGGTAGTGTTGTACAAAATTGTAAAAGGCCGTATACTAAGGTTTACTGAATCTCTAGCCATAGGAAAATCTTAAACCCTTCTGTGTATTCAAACACAGTTTGTCCTCACCTCAAACCTACTCTGGTGATATTTGCTTATTATACGAGTGATGAGGGTTCAACTTGTTTTCACAATTATTAATTTATTATCTTTGTCTCCTCCTACCCTCTCTTTCCAGTACATTTGACATTTTATTTTTTATATATAAATGTTCTAATCAAGTATAATATGTGTGATCAGATTGTTCGTAATGTATTGCGCTAATACATCACATAGTTCTGATAATCAACATCTTCTTATTACGCTAACGAGATTTATCAAAGGGACTAATTGTTTTAATATTGGTTATAAAAAATTGGAAGAGGTTAATAACAACCGTTTACTGAACAAATTTAAACCAAAACATATTTGAGGGATGTAGGCATGATAGAATGAGAAGTTGTTTCTAAAGCGTTAGTTCTTAGAGTTTAGACTTAAATAGATGAATTGCTAAAGCCTATGGAGTACGTATAATCATAATTCGTGAACTCTGTGAATACGTTTGTTAATTCTTATGGGTGTTATGGCAACGTGACCAGAATTAAAGAGTTGTCCGTCTATTAAAATGTTTATGCTATGCACTTTTCTCCTGAAGGCAATGTTGCGTAATATTCTGTTTTGCTTTTAGAAAGAGTATGCTTAGTAAGGCTTTTGTAATTGTTTGGATCACTTTTTCTGCAGCTATTCAATGATTTCCGGAAGATTTAGGAAATTTCATATAGTCTAAAAGCTGATGATAATAATCCGATTTTATCTGCTTCTAAAGCAAATATTATTCAATCACTGAATTGATGACCCTTCTGTAATGTTTAAGATTCATGTTTATATCATGTTGGATTGCCCAACAACAGATTATGGCTTCATTAATCGTTATTACCACTAAAATTAAATTTAATAGTTTATACTCCCAAAGGTATATTATATAGAAGTAAAGAAGTCTAAATAAAACAATGAAACAATTAATTTGATGGTGTCAACAGTTTATTTTACTTTTATACTGTTTTATATTTTTAAGCTTATTATTCATCTAATCTATTTAATGTTTGGTGCATATAATTCAATTATAATCCTGCATATTATGTTTGATTTACAACCCCATATCATACACTGTGTGATTGTCATTTGAGTGTTTCAGGAACGCTAAATTTCGTGTTATCTAAGACATGAATCTGATGTATTATTGATGTTTTTCACGGTACATATAGACTGTGGGGTGAAGTTCATTTGTTTTATTTCAGAAATCAGTTGATTTACAAATGTGAATTCAGGAAGAATAATCCCTTTTATAAATTTTAAAACTTTAATGAGAAGTTGTTTTGAGTTCTGATTGAGATAATAATTCAATCAATGTTAGACCACTGTTAAAAACCTGAAAGCACTGAATGGCAGATTGGTCCTAGTATTGAACTCCCCAGTAGTGCGATGTAAACTCATTAGCATATAAAAGTTGAGTGCTACTTGTAGAAATAGTGAGTTTTTTCATAAAGTGAGTACCATGAAAATTAGATAGACAAATTGTTGAGGAGAACGTGAGAATATACGTCCAAATTACAATGAAGCAATAGTGAGACATGACGATACGCATGACTATGAAATTCAATGGAAAGTCAGGGTGAATAATTGGGTTTCGAAACATTGTCTCTATACAGAAGTTAAGTTTACTTTAACGTATTCCTCTGAATTTATCTCTATGCAACAAATGAAACTTGGAAGAATAAGGCAGTTGTAATAGAATTTTATACACAATTTTCAAAGGTAACTGTCTACGATCAGCTACGTGTGCCAGAACTGAGCTTCTTATTGCTGTTTTTATCCTTCGGTCAACTATCAGGAAAGACATTCAAAAACATTATGACTAGGTGGATGTCCGAGATAACTGGTGCATCAAGAACATTTGGACTGCTGAGTTCACAATGACTTGGAAGAACTAGGCAGGTTACCTTTAATTTGAGAGTTCACTATTGGGTAGACGTAGAATGAAGTTCCTGGGCTTACTGCACTGAATAATATTCTAGGTCGTATCTCACAAATCGCATCAGACTTGTGTTGGTTCTGTTACATTTAAACTGTAGTTTTAAGAACAGTGATAGTTTTTCTACACTGAATAATTCCACATTATTTTCAGTTGAATAAATCTGTTTGTTAAAGAATTTTAATGAATAACCACTTCCTATCCAGTAGACTAGGGATACGTTTTAGTTTATATTCGATAGTTTCATCCAATCAAATTACTCCATTACTGTTACCAGACATCCAACTTAATTTCAATTATAACATAATGAAGTGTCATCTATATAGCTATAACAAAATTTGAGCTCATTTACCACACTTCTAAAATGATTGTTTTCTGATTTCTCTTGAAACAAATTCATTAGGATTAAACCTCATAGCAATACTATCTTCAAAAAAATGCGCGTTCATTAAGAATCTTGAAGACCTTTTTCCTAAAGAGGAAATAACGATAAAAAAATTCAATGTCCTGCCATTTAGTTTTCTCTATATAATATTCATCACCTTCATTCAACATACATTTATGAACGGTGTTACACGTTGAATCATATCACGATTTTTTTGTTTTCCAATGCCCTATTTTAGAAACTAGCATATCATTATCTCTTGTACTGTATTCTACAGCTTCGCGCAATAACAGTGCGTTTATACTAATATCTGGTACTACTGAATCTGTCGAGAGTCCCGATCGAGCAATCGAGTTACGCACAATAACAGTGTCAAATGTCAAGGACAGTGTAAACAACATTGTTTACAAACCTCGATTCATGTGATATTTATTATCTTTTTAAACTTACGTGACACCATGAATGGAGAACTACATATAAGAATAATATGTTAAAATGTAGGATTGGTTAAGAAACAATATGTAATAGTCTCAAAATTGTTAGTAGTATGGAATAACAAACCGTGAGACAACAAAATGAAAGCCGATTAAACTATCAAGAAAAAATTACTACGGGCAGTAACAAAACACAGTTACAAATGTAAGATAGATTATACATCAGAAATTAAGGCGTATTCCTATAAACATTACACATTACAACCAAGAGGTGTTTTGTTGTACATTAGAAGAAGATTGATTAGGTTATAAGTTACTGAGTTTCAGAGAGTAGTTCATAGTATAATGTACAGAAACAGTCAATGAAAATAGGAATGAAGCAACATAACTGAACTAATTGTATTATAATATAATGCATAAAAGTAATAATAAAGAAGACGTGACATTTAAAAGTGAAAGGAAACCAAAAACGTAGATCATATGGACTAGAATTTTGTGAGATTGAAGTCTAATGAAGTAGATTAACGTTAAAAAATATATAAAGTCATATTGGAGAAGATGGGTAAATTGGAACTTGCTTATTATTATTAAACTTGATAAATCAATAGTTGCAATCTTTATAGATACAATAGTAACTATTTTAAAGAAAGCAATAATGTGTGACCAATGAAATATTTAGAGATATTTCACAGTTATTATGGTTGACCAAATGATAGAAGAGAAAAATAAGACTATTTGTTATAACGTATTTAGTCGAAACTAGTCACAAACTTCATTCAGATTTATGTTTTCGTAAAACTACTCCAAACCTGTCTTAGGCCTTCAGATTTCATTTATTAGATACAACTGAATTTGTGCCATACACAA